ATTGATTGAAAATGGACAAAAAGAAATGATTCTTACACGTGTAGCATTTACTGTCCACTTATACATTAGAAAGTAGTGTGTAAAGATTGTTAGTGTGACCTCTGACCTCTCCTTTAAGGTCAGTATATTGATCTGAAGGTCACAGCTAATAGAAGCTAATAAATTCAGTTTGCTTTTCTGTTTCAATATTGACTCAAATATATTTGTTGGTGATTTCAATCTTAATTATAATTAAAATAATGCAGAGCAGTGGTTCTAAAGTGTGCTCAGCCTTCACGCTGTGACTGGCTGATTATTAGAAGCAGAACTAATCTAATGCAGTTAAATCTCAAAGAGGGAAACACGTCTGGCTGAGCACTCACAGGAGGCTCAGCCATGAACAGCTGTGTGCTTAATGTTTTGGGGTTCCTGCAGGGACAGTATTGATTTTGAAATAGTCATTAAGTTCTGAAAGAAAAGGTTTTCCGTGACTATAAATACACATTTTCCCTTATTTATCTTTGTAATGATCTTTGTAATGTGTAATGACCTGCTAGTGCCACAGGGTGGCAGTATTGCACCTAGAAGCCGTTTGTCAAAGTTTCACACAGAAAAACAATATTTATTATTTTATATTATTTCTGTTATCTTCTACTCCTTTATATATTTAGACTGTTGACTAGTTTTCACATTTGGACTTTGACCTGAAAAATGTCAAACCTGAAGCAAACTTGGACTTTTTCGTTTTTCTTTTTTCTCTGCAGGAGGAGTCCATTGAGGAAGTGATCAAAGACACGGAGTCTCTGTTCAAATCCAGAGAGAAGGAATACCAGGAGACCATCGACCAGATCGAGGTGAGAAGGTCAGGTGCTGCTGGCTCTGCAGCTGTGAATGTGGACGTGTTAAATAAGGGAAGAAGGACAGTGAGCTGGAGGCAACTCTCATACCTATAACTGTCCCTGCTGCAGGGACCTGCCACACATCGGCTGCATGTGTTTCCCCCTCACTGTCCAAAAGCTAAAATAACCACAACTAAAACTTAAAAAAGAAAAGACAGAATAAGATCCCCTTAAAGTTAGCATCAGCCATGAAACAGCAGTGGGAATGTCAGCATTTCTGCCTCTCTGTGCGTCATCAGCTGGAACTGGCCACAGCGAAGAGCGACATGAACCGCCACCTGCACGAGTACATGGAGATGTGTTCAATGAAGAGAGGCCTGGATGTCCAGATGGAGACCTGCAGGAGGCTCATCACACAGAGTGGAGACAGGTAACACACACACACTATTAGATTCACTGGTCGTGCTTGTTTACATGACCTGTGCAAAACACCAGGCTAGAGCTCATGCTGAACAAAGATCTGGGTATTGTAGTTTTACTATGGCAGACGTCCAGTGTCATGGTGTTAGTGTGAGCTAGTTCAGATTCTCAGCACGCCGATCTTCCCTTTCCCACCTTTCTTTGGTGTTTCTATCAAGGGCAAAAAAAGAGATTAGGAGATTGGTGCTACGTTTGGAACGTATCCATAGAAATGACAGATGCTGACCTCTGGTTGGACAGCAGCAATATCAGACTTTTTATTGGGTATACATATTTAGGGAGGATGTTGGTATTGCACTGCAGTCTTTTTAGCATTGTGCTGCTAATAAACTGGGAACTAAGCGTGTCTTGAACTTTTTTCCCCTCATATATTTAAGCTTTAAAATCTGTGACGCCTTCACGATGATTTAAAGAATATTATGTACTGTGTTTATGAGAAGCTGTAAGTAAATATCAGCCCTCTTGCTGCAAAGCTATGGTTTCTACAGGCCTCTTAATCTGCTGTCCTGGGATGAGAGATCAAAATATTTTCAAGGAACTCTAATCTGTCATTGTGTTTGATTCAGCTCCACTCCTGAGGGTTTATATTCTGAGAGCAATAATACCAATTGGCTTGAAGGACCTGGTCTCTACCTTCATCCTGAAATTGTGCTGGTAAGGTTTGCTCGGGCAAACCTGCGACGGTCAGGTTGGGTTTTTGATGAACTGACAAGGAAACGCACAAAAAATATCTACCAAGGGTCACAGGGAGGGCAGGGTGAAAAGGTGTCGCAGGTGCAGCTTTTTGTAATTTACCTGCATTAACTTCATATCCTCATCACAGGAAGTCCACCTCGCTCATCTCGCTGACGGTGGATGACTCTGACAGCGAGGAGAAGGACAGGAAGAAGCCGGCGCTCCCCGCCGACTCTGAGATCAGTGACTCCTGCTGCGGCGTCAACGCCGCCATCCCACCTCTGACCTGGAGGAAACCCTAATACACGCTTCTTCTGAGGAAGAACAATGCAGAGCTTCCACACGTCTAAAATCATGTCTCTGTGATTTCTGTCACATTTTAAGTCTCCAGTGTGATTTTTACTGATCGTAAAGTCAGGCCAACATGGCAGCCGGAGATTCAGAGCCAAGCGTGGAGGTTTTTACTGCTTTGAGGAAGAAGAGCTTCTCCTTACTGATGAACCTGTAGTTTCTTTGCAATATTAGTTATAGTATATAAAGTCATTTTAATTAAAAAAGCAGCAATAGTAATAGTGTGTGCAAGTGCTGCCCTCACATGGTTACCAGCTGTAACTGCACATCTGGAGGTCAAAACTTTACCGCACTTTAAAGAAAAGATGAGATGCCTGTGAGCTACATTATTGTATTTGCACACCGAGCTCACCAAAACCGTTGTTTGTAAAATGTCTCCAACGCTGCAGGATTAAAAGGACGCACATACAGGCTGTAATGCAGAAAGAAAGCAGTTTGCACAGCTCACTGTTCCTGCTCCATATTAAAGTGCAGTGGTTTTATATTACACAGGCATTAGCAGCAGCTTCAAAATGTTAAAGCTCACGTTTAATTTGATTCTTTGTAACTGTAGTCAAGACAAAAATCCAGTGAAAGACCAGCTCGCCTTAAACCGATTTCCAGGACTTTTTTTGGGGGGGGCATTTTGAAGGTTTAACCTTCACAATATTTACCTTACAGAAGTTTATTGATATGTACTTCTTCTTGAATTTGAAGTTTATTAAAAGCTCCGCTCCTGGTTTGTCTGTAAAAACTGATCCTTGCTACAGTTTGGAGTTAAAATACTTCATTTTCCTCTCGGCGTAACATCAGCCGTGATATTTGAACAGATTTTGATACTGTGTAGTGATATACATGTAGTAATATAGATAATTTGGGGGTTTTGTAAGCTTTTGTACAGTTGTGGTTTCAGACCTCTCTCTCACCTCCAGATCCATTTCAGTTTGAAAACATCAAAACGGTGCAAACAGGATCGGTTTGACAGTGTAAATGCCATTTAGATTTCTCACATTTTCTACAGATGATGTGATGCTAAAAGGTAAACTCTTATATCATGACAGTAATATTGTTTTTAAAAACCAGGTTAAATCACAGTTAAACTGATTTATTGTGGAAATGCCATTTTTAAACCTCGGTCTTGAAGAAATATTTTTTAAGTTAAATAATGTTGCAAAATGTACATTTCCACGTATTTTGGTGTCTGTTAAGATTCTATCTGGAATTAGTTCAGTATTTTTGGGATAACGTTAAAATGGACCTGAACAAATGCTCACATGAAACATGTTTTTAAATCAGGGCGTCCACGTAATCCCCGCAGGACTAAAGTTTAGACTGACAGTTTTTTTTTTCTACTCATGGATCTGTATGATATCCTGATATCTCCTACAGAAGCCTATCACACAGTTCACAGTTTAACTTGTATGTCTTTTTATGAGGGGCAGCCAATCAGAAGAGGGTTGGCTAATAGGGGGAGGAGCTACAAGAGACAAATAAGGATTATTATCAACTGAATTATGCAGAGCTACTCTGACATAGCCCAAGAATAACAAATACAGAGCTGGAAATGATTGAAAAAGGCCCCCTTTAATCTTACACTTTAGGTAACACTCCCTTTTTTATGTTATTTATTCTTAATACTGTTAATTAACAAGGCAATAATAGGTGTAATACAAATGTTATTTTTGCCTTTGATTTTGTGGGATCGGGAGGTATTTTGTCTTAAAG